ATTTTGATCTGTTATAAATGTCAATGAGTGTCCTCTGAGTCAAGTATATTTTGAAAATCAAAACCTCAGTTGTTTGTGCAAAATTACGTCCAATTAGTGTCTCTGGGCATATTCCAATTAACTTTTAATATATCTTGTATTTCCTAAATAATTGTATCATTATTAATTAGGCATCGATGACTTTCTTGTAGTTGAATTTTTCTTCAACCTTAGGTACAGAATTGTTAGAGATCTCTATTTTGGGCACCATGGTACCAAGTTGGTGAGTTTTCGTTAAAACTGCATTACCGAACTTGATGCTTAGTCATCATGCTCTCTATGTTGGCTGATGATTTGTTACGCAGATTACTTGAGCAAGCTTTCGAGATAGCTGAGTGCTAATTAGCATGGTGGGCGTAAGTGATTCCAAGTTTTTGAGTTTCTGACATTGTGATATCAATAACAAAACCATAATCTTTTTAATGAAAGTAACCGTTTTTCAAAATTGCTTTTAGTTTTTGAGAAAAAAATGTTTGAATTTGAGTGAAATTTTTGCAGATTTTTAAATTACTACTTTCTTTAAAAATTTGTGAAAAATTGGTGTTTCTAAATATTTTTATGAAAATATCAGAAATGATAAACAAACCTTCAATCTTTTTAATAAAAGTAACGATTTTTTAAAATCACACTGCGTTTTTGAGAAAACAATTTGTGAGGTTGTGAAAAATTTTTGTTGATTTTTAAAGATTACAATTTTATACCACTTACTTTGAAATTCTACAAAAGATCTATTTCTATGACTATTTTTATGGCTATTTCAAATATTATTAACAAAACCATAATCTTTTTAATGAAAGTAACCGTTTTTTGAAATTGCTTTTAGTTTTTGAGAAAAAAATGTTTAAATTTGAGTGAAATTTTGCTTATTTTTAAACTACTACTTTCTTTAAAAATTTGTGAAAAATTGGTGTTTCTGAATATTTTTATGGAAGTATCAGAAATGATAAACAAACCCTCAATCTTTTTAATAAAAGTAACCATTTTTTAAAATTACACTGCGTTTTTGAGAAAACAATTTGTGAGGTTGAGAAAAATTTGTGTTGATTTTTAAGGATTACAATTTTATACCACATACTTTGAAATTCTACAAAAGATCTATTTGTATGACTATTTTTATGGCTATTTCAAATATTATTAACAAAACCATAATCTTTTTAATGAAAGTAACCGTTTTTTAAAATTGCTTTTAGTTTTTGAGAAAAAAATGTTTGAATTTGAGTGAAATTTTTGCTGACTTTTAAATTGCTACTTTCTTTAAAAATTTGTGAATAATTGGTGTTTTTGAATATTTTTATGGAAGTATCAGAAATGATAAACAAAGCCTCAATCTTTTTAATGAAAGTAACCGATTTTTAAAATTACACTTAGTTTTTGAGAAAAAAATTTGTGAGGTTGAGAAAAATTTTTGGTAATTTTTAAGGATTACAATTTTATTCAACTTTCTTTAAAAATTCTAGGAAAAATCGATTTTTGTGAATATTTTTATGGCTATTTCAAATATTATTAACAAAACCATAATCTTTTTAATGAAAGTAACCGTTTTTTGAAATTGCTTTTAGTTTTTGAGAAAAAAATGTTTAAATTTGAGTGAAATTTTTGCTTATTTTTAAACTACTACTTTCTTTAAAAATTTGTGAAAAATTGGTGTTTCTGAATATTATTATGAAAATATCAGAAATGGTAAACAAAACCTCACTCTTTTTAATGAAAATAATCGTTTTTTAAAATTACACTTAGTTTTTGAGAAAATAATTTGTGAGGTTGAGAAAAATTTTTGTTAATTTTTAAGGATTACATTTTATACCATTTACTTTGAAATTGTAGGAAAAATCTATTTGTATGAATATTTTTATAACTATTTCAAATATTATTAACAAAACCATAATCTTTTTAATGAAAGTAACCGTTTTTTGAAATTGCTTTTAGTTTTTGAGAAAAAAATTTTTGGATTTGAGTGAAATTTTTGCTGATTTTTAAACTACTATATCCTTTAAAAATTTGTGAAAAATTGGTGTTTCTGAATATTTTTATGAAAATATCAGAAATGATAAACAAAGCCTCAATCTTTTTGATGAAAATAACCGTTTATTCAAATTACACTTAGTTTTTGAAAAAATAATTTGTTAAGTTGAGAAAAATTTTTGTTGATTTTTAAGGATTACTATTTTATACCACCTAGTTTGAAATTCTACGAAAAATCTATTTGTATGAATATTTTTATAGCTATTTCAAATATTATTAACAAAACCATAATCTTTTTAATGAAAGTAACCGTTTTTTCAAATTGCTTTTAGTTTTTCAGAAAAAAATGTTTGAATTTGAGTGAAATTTTTGCTTATTTTTAAATTACTGCTTTCTTTAAAAATTTGTGAAAAATTTGTGTTTCTAAATATTTTTATGAAAATATCAGAAATGATAAACAAACCCTCAATATTTTTAATAAAAATAACCATTTTTGAAAATCACACTGCGTTTTTGAGAAAATAGTTTGAGGTTGAGACAAATTTTTGTTGATTTTTGAGGATTACAATTTTATACCACTTACTTTGAAAGTCTACAAAAGATCTATTTGTATGACTATTTTTATAACTATTTCAAATATTATTAACAAAACCATAATCTTTTTAATGAAAGTAACCGTTTTTTGAAATTGCTTTTAGTTTTTGAGAAAAAAATTTTTGGATTTGAGTGAAATTTTTGCTGATTTTTAAACTACTATATCCTTTAAAAATTTGTGAAAAATTGGTGTTTCTGAATATTTTTATGAAAATATCAGAAATGATAAACAAAGCCTCAATCTTTTTGATGAAAATAACCGTTTATTCAAATTACACTTAGTTTTTGAAAAAATAATTTGTTAAGTTGAGAAAAATTTTTGTTGATTTTTAAGGATTACTATTTTATACCACCTAGTTTGAAATTCTACGAAAAATCTATTTGTATGAATATTTTTATAGCTATTTCAAATATTATTAACAAAACCATAATCTTTTTAATGAAAGTAACCGTTTTTTCAAATTGCTTTTAGTTTTTCAGAAAAAAATGTTTGAATTTGAGTGAAATTTTTGCTTATTTTTAAATTACTGCTTTCTTTAAAAATTTGTGAAAAATTTGTGTTTCTAAATATTTTTATGAAAATATCAGAAATGATAAACAAACCCTCAATATTTTTAATAAAAATAACCATTTTTGAAAATCACACTGCGTTTTTGAGAAAATAGTTTGAGGTTGAGACAAATTTTTGTTGATTTTTGAGGATTACAATTTTATACCACTTACTTTGAAAGTCTACAAAAGATCTATTTGTATGACTATTTTTATAACTATTTCAAATATTATTAACAAAACCATAATCTTTTTAATGAAAGTAACCGTTTTTTGAAATTGCTTTTAGTTTTTGAGAAAAAAATGTTTCAATTTGAGTGAAATTTTTGCTTATTTATAAACTACTACTTTCTTTAAAAAATTGTGAAAAATTGGCGTTTTTGAATATTTTTATGAAAATATCAGAAATGATAAACAAACCCTCAATCTTTTTAATAAAAGTAACCATTTTTTAAAATCACACTTAGTTTTTGAGAAAAAAATTTGTGAAGTTGAGATAAATTTTTGTTGATTTTTAAGAATTACAATTTCATGCAATTTTATTTAAAATTCTACGAAAAATCGATTTGTTTGAATATTTTTATGACTACTTCAAATATTATTAACAAAACCACAATCTTTTTAATGAAAGTAACCGATTTTTGAAATTGCTTTTAGTTTTTGAGGAAAAAATTTTGAAAATTTTGGACAGAGCATTTTGCGTTGGTCTTTGTTTTGGGTTGGGTTGGGTTTCTCTATGTTGGCTGATGATTACGCAGATCACTTAGGCAAGTTTTTGAGATAGCTGAGTCCAAGTTTTTAAGTTTCTGACATTCTGATATCAAATTTTCTAGAAATTTTGATTTTTCCAAAAAGATTTTGTTCCTTGATTCGTCCTACATCAACTAATAATAGAGCTTATTGTTGATTATATATGTATATATATAGTATTATTTTCAAATTAGTTTTTGGATTATAAGAGGGAAGTTAATTTGGGTTATTTTGGAGGGGTGTGTTGTACTTGATATTTTTATCCCCGGTTTTCCGTCGCATTTGGGAACGATGGAATAAAATATAAGTTACGGGTTTTAATCTGGAGTCGGTAGGGCGAACGCCCTTTAATATCATAAACAAAAAGTGGGGTTAACGAAAAAGGGGGACGAGGTTAAAATAAAGGTGGAAAAAAATTTTTATTTTGTATCTTCTAGATTCTCAACATCCGTAATAATAAAGATTTCATTTAGTAAAACATATGCAAATGGAAATCACCTCGATCCGTATTTATGGTAGACGCAAAACGGTTCAAAGCGGCCATATCACCACTTAAAACCATTCCCATTTCCATTATTTAAATAATTTGCAACTGCGATTATTTAAATAATCACCTGGTTTTCAGGTTTCGAGCACTCCGAATTGAATTGCGCAACCTAATACGTTCGTTAAAACTTTATAAATTATAAAAAAAACTCCATAACGTTTGTGTGGGCCCATTTTTTGTTACCCACAGTCATTACAACACTTTAAAAGTAATTTAACCCAGATATTTTCAATTCGAGCGAGCTTTCCATTCTCGGACAACATTTATAACGAGAAAATCTTGATATTAAGTTTCGAAACGATTTCCAACTTTCAATTTAATTTTTATAATAAATCTTTCTCTTTCTAGCACAAAAGACTTCTTCCTCCGTTCCGTTTGATTTACGACCACCCTCTGTATAGGGGAGAACCTCCACTTCCCTTTACCCCCTTTGTCGTCATGACAACGGCCCTTTTTGCGGCCATGTTGAAACTTCATCTAAAAAAAGAAAAGAAAATCCACATTATTTTTTTAAAAATTATTTGTGAAAGTAATTATTGTGATTAAAACATTATTTTAGGTCCAAATGGTTGTCCAAGACGAAGAGGTCGACAAACGTACACGCGTTTTCAAACGTTGGAATTGGAGAAAGAGTTTCATTTTAATCATTACTTAACCAGGCGAAGACGAATCGAAATAGCACACGCTCTTTGTTTAACGGAAAGACAGATAAAGATTTGGTTTCAAAATCGACGGATGAAATTAAAAAAGGAGTTGAGAGCGGTGAAAGAAATAAACGAGCAGGCCCGTCGCGAACGCGAGGAACAAGAACGACAAAAACAACAACAACAAGAAAAACAACAAGCAAAGCTCGACCAACAGAGTCATTCGTCGATACACCATCACGATCCAATGAAGATGTCTTTGGATAAATCTGGATCGTCGGATCTGCTCAAACCGAAAATAACATAAATTAATCGTTGAAGAAATCGACGAGGAATATTTTTTGGGTTTAAGTTTTTTTAAAGTATGATAAGAATTAATAAGAATAAATAGTCCTGGTGTTACATTTAAAAAGAAAATAATAAATGAGAGTGTGGTGACTCAGTTTTTGGAAAAGTGAAAAATAAAGCAAAGTGTTGTATCCATTAGTTTTTATATGTCTCTTAAAAAAAGTGTCGTAGGACAAAAAGTTTTGAATGAAACGAGCTTTTTTGAATTTTTTGAACCGAGAAGAACTTATTAGTGTTTTAGTTGTTAAAAGGACTCTTAAAATGGTTTTTAAAAATTATTTTTTATTAATTATTATTATTATTATTAATTATTTTTGTTCCGTGTAAATATTGTTTATTTCTTTTTTTATTATTTCGATTGTGTTCAAATTTGTCGTCTCGTGTACTACTTAAAAAAAAATTAAGAAGATAAAAATTTTATTGACTATTGATATTATTAATTAATTAATTATATTAAGTTTTCGGACTTGTTGTGATCTTCCCTATATTTTTTTTTTTTTCTTGAAAACGTTTGAGTTTTATTTTTGTTGTTTCGATGATGTGTATTGTGCCAACCGATTTCGTTTTTAGTTTTTTTTTTTAATGATCTTTAATAAGATAAACCGCCCCAAATCGATTTTTAAAAAATCGATGGAGACAAAAAAATACCCAACCCAAAACAGCAAAGTAAATTTAGTAGATTGTAACAAAAAAGAATACCGATATTCACCTTAAATAGTTCATATATACGTAATTTTGGTGTCAGGGTAGAACAAAATAACAAGATTAAAAAAACGATAAACAGCCGACGTCTTATAAACGTTTTAAGAAAGAAAAACCAAAAAGTATTTTAGAAACAAACAGAAAAAAATTAAATTAAAAAAAATGTTCATTTTTAATAATTAAAATGATCAAACTCTCTTAATCTTTCTTCCGTATTAAAGGCGAAAATTTAATAGATTCGATGTCGTACTGTCACGTAGATTATATTTAAAATAAATAAAAAAAAAGAGAAATTAGTAAGATTTTTTTAAAAAAGGAATATGAGGAAGGACCGGATCGATAAAAAATTTAAACATCATCAGATTTTGAAAATTACGTCTAGTTTTTGAGATAAAATTTGTTCTATTTGAGCGAAATTTTTGTGTTTCTAAATATTATTAGAAATGACAAACTACTTCAAATATTATTAACAAAACCATAACCTTTATAATGAAAATAACCGATTTTTAAAATTACTTTTGGCTTTTGAGAAAAACATGTTTGAATTTGTACGAAATTTTTGTCGATTTTTAACATAAATTGATGTTTCTAAATATTTTTGTGAAAATATCACAAATAATTAACAGAACCTCAATCTTTTGAATGAAAATAGCCGTTTTTTTAAATTACACTTAGTTTTTGAGAAAATAATTTGAGGTTGAGAAAAATTTTTGTTGATTTTTAAGGATTACAATTTTATACCACTTTCTTTAAAATTCTACGAAAAATCAATTTGTTTGAATATTTTTATGAAAATGTCAAAAATTATTAACAAAACCATAATCTTTTTGATGAAAGTAACCGATTTTTAAAATTACTTTTAGCTTTTGAGAAAAACATGTTTGAATTTGTACGAAATTTTTGTCGATTTTTAAAGTACTACTTTGTTTAAAAAATTGTGAAAAATTAGTGTTTTTGAATATTTTTATGAAAATATGAGAAATGATAAACAAAGCCTCAATCTTTTTAATGAAAATAACCGTTTTTTAAAATTACCCTTAGTTTTTGAGAAAATCATCTGTGAGATTGAAAAAAATTTTTCTTGATTTTTAGAATTACATTTTTATGCAATTCTATTTAAAATTCTACGAAAAATCGATTTGTTTGAATATTTTTATGGCTACTTCAAAAATTATTAACAAAACCATAATCTTTTTAATGAAAATAACCGATTTTTAAAATTGCTTTTAGTTTTTGAGAAAAAAATGTTTGAATTTGGGCCAAATTTGTGTTGCTTTTTAACCTACTACTTTCTTTAAAAATTTGTGAAAAATTGGTGTTCCTAAATATTTTTATGAAAATATCACAAATGATTAACAAAACCTCAATCTTTTTAATGGAAGTAACCGTTTTTTAAAATTACTCTTAGTTTTTGAGAAAATCATCTGTGAGGTTGAAAAAAATTTTTCTTGATTTTTAGAATTACATTTTTATGCAATTCTATTTAAAATTCTACGAAAAATCGATTTTTGTGAATATTTTTATGGCTACTTCAAATATTATTAACAAAACCATAATCTTTTTAATGAAAGTAACCGATTTTTAAAATTGCTTTTAGTTTTTGAGAAAAAAATGTTTGAATTTGAGCCAAATTTGTGTTGCTTTTTAACCTACTACTTTCTTTAAAAATTTGTGAAAAATTGGTGTTTCTGAATATTTTTATGAAAATATCAGAAATGATAAACAAAGCCTCAATCTTTTTAATGAAAATAACCGTTTTTTAAAATTACTCTTAGTTTTTGAGAAAATAATTTGTGAGGTTGAGAAAAATTTTTGTTGATTTTTAAAAATTACAATTTTATGCAATTCTATTTAAAATTCTACGAAAAATCGATTTGTTTGAATATTTTTATGGCTACTTCAAATATTATTAACAAAACCATAATCTTTTTAATGAAAGTAACCGATTTTTAAAATTGCTTTTAGTTTTTGAGAAAAAAATTTTTAAATTTGAGCCAAATTTGTGTTGATTTTTAACCTACTACTTTCTTTAAAAATTTGTGAAAAATTGGTGTTTCTGAATATTTTTATGAAAATATCAGAAATGATAAACAAAGCCTCAATCTTTTTAATAAAAATAACCGTTTTTTAAAATTACTCTTAGTTTTTGAGAAAATAATTTGTGAGGTTGAGAAAAATTTCTGTGGATTTTTAAAAATTACAATATTATACAACTTTCTTTAGAAATGTTAGGAAAAATCGATTTTTGTGAATATTTTTATGGCTACTTCAAATATTATTAACAAAACCTTAATCTTTTAAATGAGAGTAACCGATTTTTGAAATTTCTTTTAGTTTTTGAGACAAATACGTTTGAATTTGTACGAAATTTTTGTTGATTTTTAAACTACTACTTTCTTTAAAAATGTTTAAAAAATTGGTGTTTTTAAATATTTTTATGATAATATCAGAAATGATAAACAAAACCTCAATCTTTTTAATGAAAGTAACCGTTTTTTAAAATTACTGTTAGTTTTTGAGAAAATCATCTGTGAGGTTGAAAAAAACTTTTCTTGATTGTTAGAATTACAATTTTATGCAATTCTATTTAAAATTCTACGAAAAATCGATTTGTTTGAATATTTTTATGGCTATTTCAAATGTTATTAACAAAACCTTACTCTTTTAAATGAGAGTAACCGATTTTTGAAATTTCTGAATTTGAGCCAAATTTGTGTTGCTTTTTAACCTACTACTTTCTTTAAAAATTTGTGAAAAATTGGTGTTTCTGAATATTTTTATGAAAATATCAGAAATGATAAACAAAGCCTCAATCTTTTTAATGAAAATAACCGTTTTTTAAAATTACTCTTAGTTTTTGAGAAAATAATTTGTGAGGTTGAGAAAAATTTTTGTTGATTTTTAAAAATTACAATATTATACAACTTTCTTTAAAAATTTTAGGAAAAATCGATTTTTGTGAATATTTTTATGGCTACTTCAAATATTATTAACAAAACCTTAATCTTTTAAATGAGAGTAACCGATTTTTGAAATTGCTTTTAGTTTTTGAGACAAATACGTTTGAATTGATACGAAATTTTTGTTGATTTTTAAACTACTACTTTCTTTAAACATTTTTAAAAAATTGGTGTTTTTAAATATTTTTGTGAAAATATCAGAAATAATTAACAAAACCTCAATCTTTTTGATGAAAGTAACCGTTTTTTAAAATTACTCATAGTTTTTGAGAAAATAATTTGTGAGGTTGAAAAAAATTTTTGTTGATTTTTAAGAATTACAATTTTATGCAAATTTATTTAAAATTCTACGAAAAATAGATTTGTTTGAATATTTTTATGGCTACTTCAAATATTATTAATAAAACCATAATCTTTTAATGAAAGTAACCGATTTTGAAAATTGCTTTTAGTTTTTGAGAAAAAAATTTTTAAATTTGAGCCAAATTTGTGTTGATTTTTAACCTACTACTTTCTTTAAAAATTTGTGAAAAATTGGTGTTTCTGAATATTTTTACGAAAATATCAGAAATGATAAACAAAGCCTCAATCTTTTTAATGAAAATAACCGTTCTTTAAAATTACTCTTAGTTTTTGAGAAAATAATTTGTGAGGTTGAGAGAAATTTTTGTTGATTTTTAAGAATTACAATTTTATGCAAGTTTATTTAAAATTCTACGAAAATTAGATTTGTTTGAATATTTTTATGGTTACTTCAAATATTATTAACAAAACCTCAATCTTTTTAATGAAAGTAACCGTTTTTTAAAATTACTCTTAGTTTTTGAGAAAATAATTTATGAGGTTGAGAAAAATTTTTGTTGATTTTTAAAAATTACAATATTATACAACTTTCTTTAAAAATTTTAGGAAAAATCGATTTTTGTGAATATTTTTATGGCTACTTCAAATATTATTAACAAAACCATAATCTTTTTAATGAAAGTAACCGATTTTTAAAATTGCTTTTAGTTTTTGAGAAAAAAATGTTTGAATTTGAGCCAAATTTGTGTTGCTTTTTAACCTACTACTTTCTTTAAAAATTTGTGAAAAATTGGTGTTTCTGAATATATTTATGAAAATATCAAAAATGATAAACAAAGCCTCAATCTTTTTAATGAAAATAACCGTTTTTAAAAATTACTCTTAGTTTTTGAGAAAATAATTTGTGAGGTTGAGAAAAATTTTTGTTGATTTTTAAAAATTACAATATTATACAACTTTCTTTAAAAATTTTAGGAAAAATCGATTTTTGTGAATATTTTTATGACTACTTCAAATATTATTAACAAAACCTTAATCTTTTAAATGAGAGTAACCGATTTTTGAAATTGCTTTTAGTTTTTGAGACAAATACGTTTGAATTTGTACGAAATTTTTGTTGATTTTTAAACTACTACTTTCTTTAAAAATTTTAAAAAAATAGGTGTTTTTAAATATTTTTGTGAAAATATCAGAAATGATAAACAAAACCTCAATCTTTTTAATGAAAGTAACCATTTTTTAAAATTACTCTTAGTTTTTGAGAAAATAATTTGTGAGGTTGAGCAAAATTTTTGTTGATTTTTAAAAATTACAATTTTATTCAATTTTCTTTAAAAATTTTAGGAAAAATCGATTTTTGTGAATATTTTTATGGCTACTTCAAATATTATTAACAAAACCATAATCTTTTAAATGACAGTAACCGATTTTTGAAATTTCTTTTAGTTTTTGAGACAAATACGTTTGAATTTGTACGAAATTTTTGTTGATTTTTAAACTACTACTTTCTTTAAAAATGTTTAAAAAATTGGTGTTTTTAAATATTTTTATGATAATATCAGAAATGATAAACAAAACCTCAATCTTTTTAATGAAAGTAACCGTTTTTTAAAATTACTGTTAGTTTTTGAGAAAATAATTTGTGAGGTTGAAAAAAACTTTTCTTGATTGTTAGAATTACAATTTTATGCAATTCTATTTAAAATTCTACGAAAAATCGATTTGTTTGAATATTTTTATGGCTACTTCAAAAATTATTAACAAAACCATAATCTTTTTAATGAAAGTAACCGATTTTTAAAATTACTTTTAGTTTTTGAGAAAATAATGTTTGAATTTGAACCAAATTTGTGTTGCTTTTTAAAGTACTACTTTCTTTAAAAATTTGTGAAAAATTGGTGTTTCTGAATATTTTTATGAAAATATCAGAAATGATTAACAAAACCTCAATCTTTTTGATGAAAGTAACCGTTTTTTAAAATTACTCTTAGTTTTTGAGAAAATAATTTG